AACTGGCTGGGACAGTGTTTAATGTGCAAGAAGACATATTTCTTGGTTTTGTTTACACTGATAATTCTGAATGTTATGGTGGCATACAGTGTGGATCTGTGATGTGTAATATAAATATCTCTCCATGAATAATGTAGTATGTAAAAACATCTCCATTAAAAGAGTAAGCAAATTTGGGTTTCTTACTTTTTCAGAATTTCTGGACTGTCTTTATACTAACGTACCATATTCCAGTCCAGGTTTCCCTCAGCAATAGCAATTAGTCATGTTGAATTGATCATCAGTAGACATCAAGAAATATTAGAACAATACTGAGAAATACTTTTAGCAAACTGTGCCCTAAACCAGAACCAGAGCTCTGTGCCCTTGAGATAAAAGGTTGTCCCTTTTCCATATTTCTCCCTAAGAGAGTTTAATTTATCTGCTTGCTTGCTTGCTGAGAGTCAGTGAATTGGGAACTCTTCAGACAGTGTTATAGAAAATAATCATCCTCCCATACATCACTTACCTGGCTGCCACCATTGATAGTTTCACCAAACCATACGTGCTTCTTGTCCCTGGCATTCTTGTTGATATACCAGTTCTTAGCAGGAATATGGTCAGGGTTGGCGTGGATGCAAGTCTCACCAGTGGCAAAGTCACAGTATACTCTAATGGCATCTGCAGAGCAGCCTTGGTTGGGATCAATCCAGTAGAAGCCTGCCATTGAGGAAAGAAATGTGGACAATAGTTCACCTTTCCATTCAGTTCATATTCACTTGTCTGATATAGGAACTCAGAGAGAGGCCATAAATATCACAGCTAGGAACAATATTAAGGTGATAAGCGGGATGCATAGATATTTTGGATTGTTAATGTATAAGCAACTGTATTTGAAATCTAGGGTTAAGTATTTTTGCATTATTTTGAAAAATTTTTGGAATAATGTGCAGCAATAGCAATAAAGAGCTTTTCAGAATGTATCTATACATTCTGAAAATAACTGCAATAACTTCTTTGTCACTTAGTATTTTTGCCAGGTGGCCGAGGATGCCATTCAAAGAAATGAGCCAGAAAGGGCAAATATCTGGCACCAACATACCACTGCTCCATTCTGGGTGGCTAAGTCTTAGGTCACGACAAGTGCGAGCTGGGTTCTTTTTGGAGCCTTCTGGGGTCAGCAGGGTCTCAATTTGGTTGTTCAGTGTTTTCAGAGTGGCATCAACTTCATAATCCTTGGGTCTGAGAGAAGGCTGATCAGCCCGGTAGTATTCCGCATCAAAGCCAACTTCATATCCACCACCATTGGGACCAGGGGGACCAGGGGGACCAGGAGGTCCAGGAGGACCCTAAAGTTTTTCAAAAGCAGAAGACAAGAGGCATTCTGTTAGACATATTTTTCTCTCCATTAAATACTTCCACACACACATAGTCCTACTTAACTCCTGACACCCTTAGCTCTAATCGGAGGCAGCATATATGGACTTGCCCTGTGGTGATTGCTATGGGGCTGAAACAGTGGAAGATGCACAGTGTAGGACTACCACACCTCTTTTGTGTATTTGCTGTCTGGTTGTAAGGAGTGAATAAGGACTTCAAGTTTAAACCTAATAGGGAAATGCTTCAATATTTTTTTAAAATAAATAAACCCACATATATTCCTACACTGCTAGGCTTCTAGTGTGACATAAATGTATTAAATCAGAAAAATAAGAGTTATACTCACAGCAGGACCTTGGCTACCATGAGAGCCACGCACACCAGCAGGGCCAATAGGTCCAGGGAGACCATTACGACCATCTTTACCAGGAGGACCAGAGGGACCAGGTGGACCCTAAAAGAAAATTTGAACAGTTTAATGATGGTAAAAACACTGCAAATAGAGATTCATAAAATTGGAGTGTACATATATATTGCACAAAAGTAATGGGAGAATTATTAGAATATGCTCTGAAATTCACATACCCTTGGGCCAGCAGGGCCATTGTTACCAGGAGGACCTTGATCACCGTGCTGTCCCTATTGGGAAAGATATATGCATAGTCATTAAAAAGTGCAGTGGCACATGTTTGTATTTGCATATTCAAGAAGAACCTATAGTTAGAGAAAGGTATTTTAGGGCTAATTACATTTATTAGTGGAGTTGGGATACAAAATGCTTGTTTTGGGAGGGAAGGAGAAAGGGTGTAAAGAGGTATTTAATGGGATAACCTATAAAATTCTCTATATTGTTTCTTCAGGTTTTCAGAATTCCCGAAAGGCAATACCTCAATTTAAAAGGGAAGAAAATTCATAAATTACTTCTGCTTCTCTGATACAGAGGCTTTACAACTTCTGGCCAAAATAAGAAATAAGACTAAAACAAAGACAGAGGTTTTTTTAATTCTGTGCTAGCCAAATGCAGTTAAGTTTCAAGGCAACTAATAGTACTCATAGTTCTAAAGCCATTAAAATAATTAATTATTAAAATTATTAATAAAAGCCTATTAAAATTTGCCATCTTATATGAAGAGCATTGAGTGTTAAAGAGACACTTAATGGCCTTTGAAAGATGATGCAGAATGGAGTAAGTGGTATCAATCTGCTGGGTTGTGCATATATAATTCCACCCTAGGGTGACTTTATTTCCTCTTTTTTTTTTAACTCTTTATATTCAAAATCCTAAAAATCAATTACTTACAGCCAGACCAGGAAGACCCTGTAATCCATTGTGTCCCTTCAAGCCAGGTAGACCTCTAGGACCCTTATCACCAGGTAGACCTTTCTCACCACGTGGACCTTGTGGGCCCTAGGAAGGAACACAGTTGTCAGAGGAATAAGCATAAACACTCTATATTATACCATAGGTTGCCCCAATATGTATAAATTGCATCCTGTTAACACAACCAGGAAAAGTGCCAATCCCAAAAGTTTCAGGACCGGTCCCATAAGAGAGAATGCTGATTGAGATTCTAGATCCATAAATATTTACAGGTCCTTAAGCACTACTTTTTGGGCCAGTATCTTCAGCAGAGTCACAAGTCCTTATTAATAAAGTATGTTTTCTCTTCTTGCATCAATGTGGTGATGTATTTAAAAATCAGACTTACAGCAAGACCTCTTGGACCAAAAGCACCAGCAGGACCGACAACACCAGCAGGACCCTGAAACAAGAATAGAAAATGCATGGCACTGCTGTATACTATTCTAATGAAGGTTCCATGCTCAACACATTTCTGCAGAAAGTAATTATCCACACACTATAGAGGTGTGAGGTATTTTATATCTGATGGACAAATCTTAGTCTTCTTAGACCTTAATAAAAAAATTAAGGTTTCATCAACTTACGGGTTCACCACGGTTTCCAGGCTTTCCAGAAGGACCAACTTGGCCATGAGGACCAGGAGCACCCAGAGCACCACTGGGACCAGGACTACCAGGAGCTCCGCGCTCACCCTGGGAACAAAGGAACACAACAGGAGAGACAGTGTGTTACTACTGACTTACACATATTGGAATATTTCTTCCATGATAATGAAATAAAATAAAAAAAAAATTACCTTGAAACCAGGAGCACCATCACGGCCTGGAGGACCATCATTTCCAGGATTGCCCTGTTAAAACACCATGAAAAAAATATCAAAGTCCATCACCTTTCATCTCACATGGAACTGTGTGTCAGACTAATTGCTTCCAATGACAGTAAGAAGACATTGAATGGGATAGTATTAAACTTGAAGACAAAAAGGTCTTCCTTATAGATACTGTTCTCAAATCCCTTGCATATATTAATTTTCTCAGAAAACTAAATTACTTCGCTGTAGTACTTCACAAGGTTAAATGGCTTCCTTTGTGAATGTTAATCTCACTTCACCTGTTTTACTGTGTACAGAAACGAACCTTTTCCCTCAGAAAATTCCAATAGAAGAGAAAGTTTGTTTCTTTTTAATTATTATTCTCTGTTCTCTTTGAGATCCTGCAAGTTTCAGGACTTGCAGGTGCCCTGCATTAAAAATACTTCAGGTTATAAAATATGCTTCCCTTCCCTTTCCCCTTCAGGGAAAGCTTTATATAGTTCTCCTAACAGGAAACAAGGCAATGTGTTAGTATTTTACTTGAACTGTTCTCAAAGTGTAAGTCATGTATAGCCACTGTATGGATTCCCTGCTTTAAGGTGAACTACTAACTTGGATGGTTAAATTAAATGGATAAGTTCATTTGCTACTCTACGAAGGTGTTGGAGCAGGACTCTGTCCTTCAAGTAATCACCCACAAGGCAGGATGTTAGAGGGAACAATTTGTTCCACTCCAGTGTTCCTACATTCCCCCTTCTGCACAGGGCTCACGTCACCATTGTGCCTTAACCTGCAGTTCAGCAGTACCTGCCACACAGGCCAGAGTTGGCTCTGTAGTGTTTTTACCCTGCAAATTTACTTTACGTTTTGTGGAGAGGGAATGCACATTGGGAAACACTGTGTAGCTCAGCCACAATGTTTAAGTGTATATGTTTTGTGAGGACTCCAAAACAGTGCTGAGTGTTGCAAAACACCAAAAACTGAATTACAACATTTTGTGTAATGTGCTTCATAGGCCTTCTGAGTGGGTCTTAATTTTAAAAAGCTCTGTCTTTAATACCATGAATCACTAGATACCTCAAGTAAAAGTGACTGCAATTTTTATACTTCCCTGAAAGATATGTATAATATGCCTTACATGATGTTTAAGAAAATTTGTTGATAAACAAGGCTTTTGTGATATATTCTTTTCTATAGCCAAGGTACGTCCCCTGGAATGTACTATTTGTTCTCAGTTCCAACAATGAAGTAATCTTTTCCCCACTCCAAAAGATTGTGATAGTGACTCCAGAATGTATTTCAGACATAACTTGTGCCTTGAAGAATTTGTCGCCTAATTGGGGATGGGAATCTATGCCTATAAAAATCCTGATATAATTTTCTCTGAAGACATTGCAAGGTACAAGTTTGCTAGCAGAACAATCTCCAGTTCCATCCACTTTTTCTGTGTATTTGTCTTTGCCTCAGAATAAAAGAAAAGCAACCTGAAGTGGAAATAAGACAGCTTACATCACGTCCAGCTTCACCAGGAGCACCATTTGGACCAGGAGAACCCACGGGACCAGAGGGACCACGGGCACCAGGAGGACCAGAAACACCCAGGGGACCAGGTTCACCCTAATATAGGAACAGTGGTAACAAAATGTGACATTATAATACAACACAAACCAGTCTTACAGAACTTTTGTCCTTTATCTAAGAGAAACTTTTCTCTGCAACCAGTTCAGGAAGTGAAAAAGAATCAGGACACGTGAAACATATATAACTATATCAAATATTATCTTCATTCTAAATTTTACTATCAGAAACCTCTGATGACAGTGAGAAATATGCTCACTTACTGACACAAGTCTTGTTTGTCTGCAACAAGTCATAATTTCTTCCATTGCTCTAAGTCTGTTAGGTTCATATCTTCTGTCTCCAGCAGCAATGGAAAGAGAAGAATCTACATCTCTTTTTCCCTGGTTTCCCATAAGAGTGGACCTCAAGTGGTTTTGGTTTTTTTTGTTTGTTTTGTTTTGTTTTTTGGTTTTTGGGTTTTTTTAACACATTATCTGTTTAAAGCAGTTTACTAATCATATACTCACTGTTGCTCCAGAGATGCCTGGAAGACCACGTTCTCCCCGAGAACCAGGCAGACCAAGAATACCAGGAGCACCAAGAATACCCTGAGGACCTGGGGTACCGGGAGGACCCTGTGATGTGAAGAGAATAATTTTTATATTACAAGACAATAATAAATTTAACATACATATCTGTCAATGATACTGAAGATTTCATTCTCAACTGCAACTTCTGCAGATCACAGAAGACATTTCTATAATTTTTTTGTTGAGAAACAATGGGAGTATTTCACAGAGGTGCTCCCTTCAGTAAGACAGAAATGTGTATGGCCTTAAAAAAAGCCAGTAATTCAGATGTGCAAGCTTAAAGATACTCAAAATTAATTAATTTATTTGCATAGTTCTAAGTCAACCTGGAGGAAGACAACTTTAACATCATGATCCCCACAAATCAGAGTTTCTGATGCAGATATGAATTGAGATTGTTCTAAATGGATGTTCACATGTTCCCTTTTCCATCCATGATGATCAATTTCAGAGCAGGAGACTGCTCCCCTTTCTCAGACTAAATATCAAATTTTTTCTTGAATTAGTCATATTGCTTTCATTTGCTCTACTTACAGAGAAAGATACAACTCACCACAAGAAAAATGAAGATCAAAAAAAACCTGATCCAGGGATCAGGTTCTCTTTTTAAAGGCGTGTTTGTCAAACACACCTATAAACAATTTCTTGTGTCTCAGTGGAACTATTTAAAAGCTTTGCTAAATTTGTGGGCAAAACAGAAAAGCCCTTCACAAACATCAAAAGTATCTTAGAAGCCATAACATTTACGTAAGAGAAACACCTTTAATGAGCTGTTACACTCAGTAACTTACAGCAGCACCGGCCTCTCCAGATGGACCTTTCTCACCAGCAAAGCCAGGTGGGCCAGCAATACCTTGTTCACCAGTGCGGCCAACTGGTCCAACATCACCACGCAGACCTCTAGGACCATCTTTGCCAGCTGGGCCAGGAGGACCAGGGGGACCAGTGATGCCCTAGGATTGAGTATGAATATGACACCATTACAATATAGACCCATTAACTGGGGATATCAGAGATAAACTTCACTTTAAGTTCATGTAAAAAAAAATGTGCTTTGCAATAAACATATTATCAGCTACTCTGATGCAGCAACTTCTATTGCTTTGTCAGCAGAGGATAGCTAGAATCTGTAGAGTTATTGAACTGAGTTTTTTTTTTAATCAGGGCAGGTGAAAGTGGCATAATTTGATAGGAAAATGTAGATTTAGCTCTCTCTGGAGACATTAATTGCAATTATAAAATCTATGAGAAAAAACCCCAACCTCTTCCAATTCAACAGGATTATTTACTTTAGATACTGGGATTTAAAATTTATTTATACCTAGGGTATCTAGGGAAAGAATTGCCTTTTGGTGAAGGTTGGAAACATCTTTGAAAAGAAAAATTTCAAATGTCAATGTGGAATGAGATTTTCTGGCTGAAAAATAAATAAGCAGGGATTCACATTCTAGAACATAATGAGACATTTCCGTAATCAAGACAGGGGCTGGAACTGCAGATAGTTTAGAAAGTGTGGATACAAGATAACCTTAACATGCTTTTGCACATTGGACATGATGTCCTTATTCCAATCCACCAGGAATAACTGTGTAGCCATTGATTTGAACAAAAGCAAATAAACACAGATTTTGCAAATGATTGGGTATTTCAAGATGAATAAGAATGCTTGACAGATTGTAAAAAAACCCCAAGAATTAAATGCATAGCTCCTACTCTGGGAGTCTGAACAGTTAAGATTTTTTTCTTATCCAATCCTATAGGGATCTGAGATATCTAGTGCAATTAGAATTTGTGTCAATGAAACAAAATTTAGGACTATCCCTAACCAAAGCAACTTCTTATTTATCTCCCATTAGAACTTCATTAGTTACTTACAGCAGGGCCAGGAGGACCAACTCTTCCAGCAGCACCAGGGAAACCAGTCATGCCCTAAAAATGATAGTGAAAAGGAAGATTAATTTTAAAAGCAACAATCACTTCATGAAAAGCAACAATGTCAGTACCAAAAGCTTGAAGACTTACAGGAGGACCAGCATCACCACGAGGGCCAGCAGGACCAGCAGCACCAGCAGGACCCTAGGTATGAAGGATTGAAAAAGAGAGATGGATTAAGCAAAGGCAGTTAATGTTCCCTATTTACAATAAAGGCTCAGTGTCTCTCTCGTGATAGCTAAGGGTAATTTTTACTCCAGCAGGAGGATAACTGGGCCCAAAACCACACTGCCTATCCTGGTACTAGGGTATTATATTCTCACAGACTTTTAAAGTCAGCATCATAAGGCATAGGAAGAGTTGCATATAAGGTATTTACGAATCAAATGAATTTCCTTGCAAATGTTATGTGCATCTAAACAAATCTGGAAGTCAAAATGTGAAAGTAGGGCAAAATCAGTAAGTCCCCCTTTTGCACTGTGTGACTTACACATCCACATCGTGCAAGAGTCTGGTGTTGGTCTATTAAAATTATACAGTAAGTACCCCAAGCCACGTTATCTTGCAACACTTTATGGTATTTGAACAACCTGGGTCTGACTTTCTGCATGATTCAACCAGTTTCCCAATAATGGGCTGCATGCATGTGAAGCAGAATATAGCTTTGGGCTATAAAGCTGGTAGCACATGAAAAGCCTGTGTGCAAGTGGGTGCATGAACAAATTTCCACATGCACTTCTGGATGACTGAGTCTGAAAACTAGTCTGTGACAGCACATCCTGACTTTGAGAGAAAGGTATCAACATCCTCAGCTCAGAACTTACCCACAATCTCTCCCTGGATGGTCCAAGATAGACTGATTTTGCTGATCTTCAGAGCAAGGTGAAAAGTAGGTGTTTTTTTTTTCTCCTTATTTCAGTTCCAGACTCACAATCTGAGCCCACATAAATAGATTGACAAAGTTTATATAATGCGTGAAAAATCAGTATGGTGACTTTCCACACAGCCTAATTTGTTTTGAAGTTTTGTTTCTTTTTTTAATTACTTTTTCAAAATTCAAGGCCTTCAGATTAGTGTATTCCTTGCACAGCACAGTTAAGAACTGTACATTTTAACAAGACACAGTTCACTTACCGGTGGTCCAGAAGCACCAATTGGGCCAATAGCACCTGTTGGTCCAACTTCACCCTTAGGTCCTTTAGGCCCACGCTCGCCTTTAGCACCAGGCTGACCAGCTGCACCCTACAGGCAGAAAAACAGACAGAATGAGGAGCTAGAACTCTTCTAAAGGAAAGAGAGGAATGGCGTGGCATCAATATCAGGAAAGCACAAACAGAACTCACAGGGGGTCCAGCAAATCCACTTGGACCTACGGGACCAGGCTCACCGCGTTCACCCTAAAGAGAGAAAAAAGAAGAGAGGACTGGTTGGACTGGGCTTTAAAAGGGCAGTTTTCTGAACATCATGTCTTTGACACAAGAGTAGTTGCAGAAATTGCTACTTACAGGGATACCACGGGCACCAGCAGGACCAGCAGGACCAGCAGGACCTCCTTCACCCTTAAACAGATAGCAGAAAACATTATGACACTGTGGGAAAGGCCTTGCTGTAACCAGAATAGGGGTGACCTTGTGGTACTGGTGCATGTAGTGAGTCCCCTGTGTCTCCACTGGAGGAGATGTTGCTGAAAATGCTTCTTTTTTTGACCCACCCTGTATTAATAATTTCTAACAATTCTCAAACAGGATCATTCTGAGATAATGTGTGATTATTCATCACTTTATCAAAACCTCTTCTCACAGTGTAAGAAGGGTTGTGGAGCTTAACTTTGACTGGGAAGAATTCAGCTGAAGCCTGAATCAGAATCTTCTCCCCATATAACACAGTACCATGTAGATGTGCATCACTTCCCCACCCTTTTAGGAAAAGGTTTGGGGTCCTATGGCAAACTTTGCTGAATAGTCCCAATAAACTTGCCTCCCAAGTCTGAAAAATGTACTGAACTTGTGCACATTAGAAAGATGGAAATCATCTTTAATATTCATGCATGGGCAAACTGCATAAACAAACAAGACACTTTTTCATTCCAAGAGTAGACTTACCCGATCACCAGCACCACCAGCAGGGCCAGGAGCACCAATAGCACCAGGGAGACCCTGCAGGTCAAGAGACAGGACACCATTTCTAACAAAATGAGAGTAGGAGCAAGTACTTTAAATAATTTTTCTCTTTCCTCCTAGAGAAAGGTGTGTAACTTTCTTCCAGATGTTTTCAAGATAAAAGGACATGTGATCTATTCCGTTATTTTCCTTCCCAATTATTATTATTGTTATTATTGTTATTTCCTTCCCAAGTATTAATTCTAGGATGGGCACCTTAAATCTCAAATTAATGATAACTTTTGTGTAGCTTTGCAGGCTGCCTCTAGAACTAGCTGTCTGGGCTGACCCCATGAAATTAAAGAAGATAATGTCACAGTGAACAGCTATGCAATACAAGGTTCTCTGCTCATGTAATTTCTCTGCTTGGATGTATAAGAAGTAAACACTTTTCTCTCTTTCTCCCCCTTGTCCCTCCTTGGACAAGGGGCAACAAAATCACACTGATTTGTATTAAAATAAGCAGAAAGAAGCAGTAACACAATAAGGGGGAAACTTAAGTCCTGAACATCCTTTTCAGTCACTTAAGTTCCAAGGTGCAGCAAGGTAAACTCAAGTAGAACCAAAAGATACTCACACGAGCACCATCTCTTCCTGTTGCACCCATATCACCTCTCAGACCTGGGGCACCCTAGAATACACAGAGGGGAGAAAAGCATTATATTGGTAACGAACCCAGTGGTTTTTATGAAATAAGTCTTGAACTGTTTGCTGGGTATCTGTGTGTTACTTGCACATCATACAAGATGCTTATAATACTAGGGTATTTTTTGGGAATGGACTTTGATTATTATTTCATTGTTATTTCTGAGTATGTACTGACTTGAAAAGTGAAAATTTGCAAAGAGGATTGACACGCTTTTCAGAATTATAAGTCTGATTCTTTCACGGGAAACCTATTTAGTTTCTCCGAGATACCAAGAATTTTGGATGGAATTAAAAATTCAGAACCAAGTTGATGTATATT